ACAAAAATAAGAACAATATCAACAAAATAAAGCTAAGGTAAAACAAAGAATTAAAAATATCAACAGTGAAAATAATACAATTGTTATGAAGGCAGCAACATGCAGACGTGACTACAAGACATTTCCAGGTCAACAAATACTGGTTTATGGACGCGGTAAAGTCAAACCATAGAATATTACAGTAACTTTTTTATGGAAAGGGAGATGTATTTATTTTAATCACTGTTCGTATATTATATCTTTCTTGAATTAGCTTTTTGGAATAGTTATATATCTATTATATATTAACGTAACCTCGCTATAATTTATATGGACGTAGTAAGGAGGGAATTAGTACATGATATAAACCCGGGTATTGGTGTAGGTAGAGTGCAAGTTGCACTCTACCTACACCAATACCCGGGTTGCACTATGCAACCCATTTAAGTAGTATAGTCTTCACTTCATACAGACCTCGGGTATTGAGACCATTGAACGTCTAATTACGATAAATGATAATTATAAGTAGATTATCACGTTGTTGATGAGACTCAGCGGCCGTTATATAATAGTAAGAGTTTATCGCTTCATGGGAATATTTTACTGGGCATTTACTGAAATCATTTTGATATTTACTGTTTTCTGTTGCGTGATGTTGACCAATGAACACAGACAAAAAAGAAAGGAAGGAAAATATAATAACATCGTTCTTTTGTCAGCTTTAGTGGTGGTGGTTGGCTGCAATTCGTGTAGGCCATCCATAGTCTTTCAGAGGCTCCAACTGAAAATAGTTAAGGCCAATTACGTCATAAATATAGACTTTATTATCCTATTTAGATATATAAGCACGAGTCACGCACAGTGTCTTCCCTACTTTAATACCACGAGGATTTACTGCTGCTATATACGATACACCACTGTCAAACAGTGCTGTAAGCGACCAGCAACATGCGGCAGTTATTAACACGGCTTTAAATTCTCATTGGGAGTGAATGGTAGCCTCGTCTCTCACTTGGTACGTGGGGGTGAGGGTGAGGAGGGGGTCATACTCCGCGTGTTTCGAACATGGTATACGTGTGTGATAGCAAAGGGGGAGGTGAAGGTGAAGTTGAGACATGGATCATTAACAACCGACGTGGGAGGAAGAAGAGGAGGAAGGAAGGGGAGTGTGCATGTCGACATACTGTACGATAGCAACTTGCCAAAAGGGGTACGTTATGCCTTTATTGACATTGAGGAAGTGAGTTGGGTGCGTTTTGGTCTCTTCATCTGGCCGTGACAAATTCCTCCCAGGCGACGACATCACCTCGAAAATATCAGGTAATGTAATGTCCATGTCACTCTCCTACTGGTCTATATTTACCATCGGGAGGAGCGTCTTGTCTATTAATACAAGGGCGCAGCTCCTCTTTGGGTAGGAGGAAGACTCGGAAATACAGAGGAAGGAGGACAAGGTCACTAAACTAGTTAAAATAGATAGAAAAATAAGTTGCACGGGGGGTGAGGTTGTGTCGGGGGAGTGAAGGTTGTGGTGGTGTTGGCAGTGAGGGAAGATATTGGTGGTGAGGGAAGGAGGTGATGGTGGTGAGGGAAGATATTGGTGGTGAGGGAAGGAGGTGATGGTGGTGAGGGAAGCAGGATTTGGTGGTGAGGGAAGGAGGTGATGGTGGTGAGGGAAGGAGGAGTTGGTGGTGAGTGAAGGAGGTGATGGTGGTGAGGGAAGGAGGAGTTGGTGGTGAGTGAAGGAGGTGAAGGAAGCAGGAGTTGGTGGTGAGTGAAGGAGGTGATGGTGAGGAAGGAGGAGTTGGTGGTGAGGAAGGAGTTAATGGTAGTGAGTGAAGGAGGAGTTGGTGGTGAGGGAAGGAGGTGATGGTGGTGAGGGAAGGAGGAGTTGGTGGTGAGTGAAGGAGGTGATGGTGGTGAGGGAAGGAGGAGTTGGTGGTGAGTGAAGGAGTTAATGGTAGTGAGTGAAGGAGGAGTTGGTGGTGAGTGAAGGAGGTGATGGTGGTGAGGGAAGGAGGAGTTGGTGGTGAGTGAAGGAGGTGATGGTGGTGAGGGAAGGAGGAGTTGGTGGTGAGTGAAGGAGTTAATGGTAGTGAGTGAAGGAGGAGTTGGTGGTGAGTGAAGGTGGTGGGGGTTGCGCCAGGCTGCTCATCCCCCTCCCTCTCCCACTCACCTTAGACTAAATTAAACCTCGAGTATTATTCTTGCACACACACACACACACACACACACACACACACACACACGGCAGCTTGAAGGTAATATCCTTCCTCACCAACGCTCCTCGTCTCAAAGGTCCTTCGGGACTTTTTTCCCACGTAATTACAGGCCTCAACAATGCATCCAATTTTAGCTGGCTTTAAAATACACACACACACACACACACACACACACACCCCATCCCATCTATTGTTAAAATAATAAACAGCTCCTGATTTATGTACTGTACAGCCCTGTAAATGTATTCAATGCATATTATATCATTATATCTAAATCAAATGTAAGTCTGTATATTTTCAGCCACCGGCTGCAACTCTATTAATAAACCGTTTATTATTATTATTAATATTATTATTATTACACACGGTGGTCTCGGAACAAAGAAAAACACTTAAAAATATAATTAACTTACAATGGGTTTAGAACTGTAAGAAAAAGTCCATTAAAATATTTTCATCCACATAATAGTTTGTCTTCCGTTCCTGTGAAAGTCTCAGCTGGTCAACAGTGTACACGGCGGTTGAAAGTTAACAGTGTGTTTCTCTTGATATTAAACAAGGCTACACTGTTGTTTATTCAGAATCACGCTCAAATGTCAATCATAAAACACCCCTTGGCTAACCACAATATCATATATATATATATATATATATATATATATATATATATATATATATATATATATATATATATATATATATATATATATATATATATATAGTAATGTCAGTGGTACCTGTTGTTGATGACGTCACTGGCATACAACGTCTATTTAGAAAGTTCTGTGACTCACTTTACTCTTCTAGTGACCACATCCTCATATGCTGAATCACGAATCCACTTATTACCTGATATGTGGTCGTGTGTAGGCGTGAATGACACACACACACGCACACACACACACACACTAAAAAAAATAGACTAATAGGTAAAATTATTATGTTTTTATGAGGCCGTAAACCTTTACCTTCTCGGACGAGTGAACCTGTCTAGTGCTGGGACACACACACACACACACACACACACGCACACTTACACATATACACACACGTACACACATGACAACTTATACATATATACAGACCTACACACATGATCACTTATACAGATACACACACACACGTACACACATGAACGCCTACACATACTGTATATACCCACATGAACACCTACTCACATACGAACACAAGTACACAAATGAAAACTTACACACATATACCCACACGTACACATATGAATAACTACACACATGGACAATTACAGACATGTACCTACACGTACATATATATGCCCACACATACACAGACACACACGTACACAGACACGCAGTGCAAGCTCCAGCAGTCACAGTGGGTCATGCCCATCCTGCAGAATCATGCTCGGCGCAGACTCCTCCAGCTACAACAACGCTCTCTCCACCCTGGAAATGCCATCCCTCAGTGACCTCCACCACCAAGCATTAGCTAGGATTAGCAGTGGACTACTGCACCATCCTCGTCATCGCCACCTCCTGCCACCGGCAGTCCCCCGCCCACCTCGCGCAGTCCGCCACTACAACAAAATTCAGCCCATAAGAGCCCGCACCGATAGATATAAGAACAGCACCATCCCATCTATTGTTAAAATAATAAACAGCTCCTGATTTATGTAATGAACAACCCTGTAAATGTACTGAACACATATCATTATGTCTAAATCACATGTAAGTTTGTATATTTTCAGCCACCGGCTGCAACTCTATTAATAAACCGTTTATTATTATTATTATTATTATTACACACACACACACACACACACACACACACACACACACACTCACACACACTCACACACACACACACACACACACACACACACACACCGAGCTTGTCTAATTCCTCCTTTGTTTCTGAACACTTTGTCCTTGATGTGTTCAGTGTTAGTTCAGCAGGAGACAGGCGTACAGTACAGCACCAGCGGAATGCCTGCCACGTCTGGTGTGGTCACGCGACGGTGAAACAGTACGACGTAACACACATTGCTCGCTTCCCCCGCCAGACGAGGACACGTGCCTTGTCTGTCGACTTGTGAAAGAGACCTAGGGGTACTTGTAAGCCCGGACCTACGGCCTAGAAAACAGTGCGTTAATGTTCGAAATAAGGCAAACAGAGAATTGGGTTTTATATCTAGAAGTGTAAATAACAAGAGTGCAGAGGTCTTATTGCAACTATATCTTGCGCTAGTCAGGCCGCACCTCGATTATGCGGTTCAGTTCTGGTGCCCCTATTATAGAATGGATATAAATTCACTAGAGTCGGTGCAGCGAAGAATGACAAAAATGATTCCGGGACTTAGAAACCTTCCATATCAGGATAGGTTAAAGAAACTTAACTTGCATTCCTAGAAAGACGAAGAGTGCGGGGAGATATGATAGAAGTATTTAAGCGGGTGAAAGGAATCAATAAAGGGGATATAGATAAAGTTCTTATAATATCCGAGCAGGATAGGACTCGGAGCAACGGATTCAAGTTGGATAAGTTTAGGTTTAGGAGGGAGATAGGAAGAAACTGGTTCACAAATAGGGTGGTGGACGAGTGGAACAAGCTTAGCAACTTTGTAGTAAGTGCGGGAACTCTGGAAAGTTTCAAAAGGAGGCTAGATAGATTCATGGATGATAGAGAGTGGTAGTAACTCTCGACAGGAGCTTCCATGCACGGGCCAACCGGCCTATTGCAGACTCCTTATTTTCTTATGTTCTTATGTCCTGGGTTAGGATTATATGTCTTCACTTCCTCCCTAACGGCCCTGTCCTCCCACAGGCAACAAGATGTCTCCGGTACGCGTCACGGACATGCGGTGGGGCTGGGTTAGGAAGAACCTGCTCCTCATGATTACCTTCTCCGGCGTCCTCTTCGGCGTCGCCCTCGGTGAGTATCTTGAATGTGGAGGTTAATTTTGGACTTCGGGGGTGATATGCCTGTTTGAGGGTGATATAACATCTGCATATTGATCTTGGACGTGGAGGGTGACCTGATTGACCTGTGATCTAGGTTCTGTAGGTTGACCTAGGACCTGGAGGGTGACATGTGTCCTTGAGGGTGACCTGTGACTTTGAGGATGACTTGGGATTTGAAGAGTGACATGACTTCTAGGTTAATCTGGAACCATGAGAGTGACTTGTCATCTGGAGGATGACCTGTTATGTTGAGGGTGTGATTTAGCATCGGTGTTAAGGGAAGTACCTCCTCCATCATACTGTTAAGGGAAGTACCTCCTCCATCATAGCGTTACGGAAAGTACCTCTTCCACTATAGTGTTAAGGGCAGTACTTCCTCCGTCACTTATGACACACGTGTTCCTTTCCTGCAGGCCTCGCCCTCCGTGCTGCTGGGCCAGACTCCACCACCATCCTGCTCATCTCTTACCCTGGCGAGCTCTTCATCCGGATGCTCAAACTCATGATCCTTCCTCTCATCATCGCCTCTCTCATAGCAGGTAAGAACCCCCTACCCTAAGATAACGCCAGTGTCACCAGTCACAAGTGCCTGGCGTTCTTCACTCTAGTCTATCATAAAACCATCGCCAGCTCAAGTAATCATCAACGTCTGGCGTTCGTTCTTACACCGCCAGCTCAAGCGATCATCAACGTCTGGCACTCAATTCTGACCCGCAATACTATAAAATACCACTATAGATGAGTTGCCAATATAATGTAGCATTCCTCTTCAGTTACGCCTGACGAACCTATGTCCGTTTTTCACCAGCACTGGCGCTCTGTTTATGTTGACCACCGTTTGCTGTGTCAATTGCTGCTCACTTGTGTGATAATCTCCAGCTCTTCGTGGTGGTCCTCTCTCTCTCTCTCTCTCTCTCTCTCGCCCGTCATTTTAATTCCACTTGACACCTCCTCACCGCCCCCTTGCCTCCTTCCTCTCCCACTTGAGTCTCGTCTTCACCTACTGCTTCCATTCTCTTTAATGTCTCCAACTTCCCTCTGCCTATCTATTTCTTCCTTCTCCTAACCCGTTCTGTTGATAGTTTCATTTTCTTTTTATGCATTTCCACCCTTCCTCGCCTTCCCTTATGTTCCTCCTTTGTCCTGTATTCCCTGGTTTCTCCTCGCTTCTATATCCTCACTTTATTCGTATCTTCTTCCTCTCCACCTTTCCTCTATCATCTACTTCCTCCCACGTTCCATTTTTTCTTCGTTATCGTCATTTTCGCCTCTGTCCCTCGTTTGCCTCTGTTCATTATCCTCTTATCTCACCTCTTCAGTGATGGTTATATCCGCCTTTCCTCTTCACCCTGAGCGAGTGATCTCAGCTCTTCCACAATTTTTTTTTCGTTTTCCCCGTCCTTCCCTTCCTCCCTCCCTCCCTCTAATCACTCGTGTCTCCTCATAACTTTTCCTATCTAAACTTTTCTCCTCTCATCTTTATCTTCCCTCTTGTTGTCCTCTTCTTGCTACGTCCCCAGAATGAGTGAACGGCCTAGTCCTGTCTTCATTTCTCACGTTGACTTACATTTAACTGGAAATGTGGAAGAACTTTACATATATCGTTGAGAACAAGATGGCTATGATCGTGTGTGTTTCTAAGTCGATGGCTGTATTGAGGGTTGTAAACAAGGAACTACATGTGCAAACTCAAAAACATTTAACAACATGAATAAACACTTATTTGCTTGCGTCAGAATTTCAGGAACGAGAAAAACAAAATATTGCGAGGTCTTGGTAACACTGGCGCTGAATCGGTCCTCCATACCGACGGCTTTGTTGGGATATTTGGTGGTGACGTAAGGCGAGTATAAACATGTTCACTGTGGCCACCAGGGGGAGCTGTGGCTTGGTATATAGACCCAGACATATTGATGATAGATTAGAGGAATAACACAGAATTTTATGTTTCAACGAAAATTCTCAATTTAGCCATATTTGCGGCTCAGTTTCCCCGCTGTATTAAGTAGATAGATAAACATAATCTTTCTGTAATATCGCCATACGCGTTCACATATGCTCGGCAGTTACAGTACATACACACTGTAAGTATGTACACAAACAATGGTAAACAGTGTGTCGGACTACTCTGTCTCGTGTGAGTTAATTGTGTGGCTACTCTGTCTCGTGTGAGTTAATTGTGTGGCTACTCTGTCTCGTGTGAGTTAATTGTGTGGCTACTCTGTCTCGTGTGAGTTAATCGGTTCCTTTCTGCTTCTCCCATCATCACAGGATCTGCCAGCCTCAACGCACGCATGAACGGGCGGATCGTGGTGCGGACCGTACTCTACTTCATGGCCACCTCCCTCCTCAACGCCTTTCTGGGTGTCATGCTGGCGATCGCCATTCACCCAGGGTCTCCACTAGCAAAACAGGTCAGGGTCAGGTCATCTTTTATGCAAATAAGTGAGAGTCAGGTCATCTCTTAACTAGTGAGGATCAGTTCAACTTTTAGCAAACAAGTTAGGGTCTGGTCACCTTTTATCCAAACAGGTCAGAGTCAGGTCATCTTTTAACCAAACAGGTCAGTGTCAGGTCATCAGAGTCAGGCCATCTCTTAACCAAACATGTCAGTGTCAGGTCATCAGAGTCAGGCCATCTCTTAACCAAACATGTCAGTGCCAGGTCATCAGAGTCAAGTCATCTTTTAACCAAGCAGGTCAGGGTCTGGTCATCTTTAAACAAAACAAGTCAGGGTCAGGTCATCTTTTACCCAAACGGGTCAGAGTCGGGTCATCTTTTATCCAAGCAGGTCACGGTCAGGTCATCACATACCACAGAGTTCGGCTCCTGGCTATACATTCAGATATATTCACGACCCTCTCAAGTATTACCACCACAAGGTCGACCCTCCAGGAACTCCCAGGCATAACCTTCTGCCTGCACTTTTTATCATTATTCTTCACCATTCGTCACTTTTTATCATTATTCTTCACCGTTTATCACTTTTTTCTTCATTATTCTTCACCATTCGTCACTTTTTATCATTATTCTTCACCGTTTATCACTTTTTTCATCATTCTTCACCATTCGTTCATCATCCACACAACCTCTTCAGTGGGCTTGGTTACTGTACTCGGCTATACGTAAACTCTTAAAAGCTCCTTACTCTTCAGCTGTTAACCAACACATGTTCAATTTCCTTCAACTCTGTCAGTGGTGAAGGTATAATATCGACAATGCTGATTCTCTTCCCGTCTTTCACTATCATCATCTTGTAAGCATTCTCCCCCCCACCCCAAAAATCGATGCTACATGTTGGTTAGGTCAGATTATGATCAGGTTCAGGTAACTAACTCTTTGGTGGTTATCCTCCCCCGCAATAAGGTCACGGTATCATCCCTCAAAAACCAGACATTACCACATCGATTGTTAGTCAGCAAACAATGTCAGATAATCAACACACGGTGATTTGTTATAATACGTGATGGAATGTCAAACTACCGAATGAGGTCACGTAATCACGGTCATTATCTCTCAAACAAGGTCAATTTACCATCAAACTAGGGAGAGTTGTAACCTAATTAGATTGTTCAGCCACCTAATGAGGACACGTGATTGGTCGTCATCTTTGCTAAACAAATGTTACCTGACCATCGGTGTGGGAGGGAGGTTGTTGAGCCTTAAAAAAGGTCATGGCGGCAGCGAGGTGATCAAAGAGGGTTAAGCGAGGGTGTGGCAGGGGCGGGGCGACGTGTGCAAAAGTATTGATTTATTGACCTTTTTCCTTAAGGCCGCAGGGCGCAGCTGGTGTGTGTGTGTGTGTACTTTGTTTGTGTGTATGTGTTTGGTTTATGTGTGTGTGTTTTTGTGTGTTTTGTTTGTTTGCGTTTTGTTTATGTATGTGTGTGGAGACAGGGCTCTCTGTATGTTTCATTTTGCTTTGTGTGTGTGTGTGTGTGTGTGTGTGTGTGTGTGTGCGGCACCACCCAAGGAACATAATTGTCTTTGGTGAAGGTCTGCTTCTGTTTGTGGCACTGTCCATATGCAAGGTTCTTTGTATCACTGCTGGCGGGTTATCAGATGTGGCAGATATTAGAACACGCATAGGAAGGTGGTAACTTAACTTAAATAAAACCTGTTTATTCTGTCCTTGTTGACGTGTTTCCGGTGTGTGTGTGTGTGTGTGTGTGTGTGTGTGTGTGTGTGTGTAGTATGACAGAACCTGTTTACTCTTTTTTTGCTTTACACACTCAGCGGTAGCTATCATTCACCATCATTTATTCTCTTTCATCATTCATTCTCTTTAACTGTTGTATTAAGTGTGGCTTCTTATGGTGTTTCTCGTCAATTCTAGTCACGCTGCCAACAAGAAGCTTTTGACACCTTGATTTCTATCCATTAACACACACACACACACACACACACACACAACCAACCATTGTAAAAATTATCAATAACTTGTAATAGACCAGTGTATTCACTCCCAGTAAACACTACTCCTTGCACTGTCACTATGTTGAAATGCCCTGTAGTTTGAGCTTTTCCCCATCTAGTTATTATATATCTTATTTATATCACTTATGTTACTTGTATATTATTTGTAATTCGAAACCCATTCCCCAAATATGTAACTGTATATTTTCAGCCTTCTGGCTGCCATGCTCTTTCAATAAACCGTTAATTATTATTATTAGCCTATTACACACACACACCGCTGCTTCCATACTCCAGGCACAGATTTTTCTTTATCCTCATCATTTCATTTCTTCCTTGGCTCTCTCTTTCTCCCTTCTTCTTCTTCTTCTTCTCCTCCTCTCAGTATGTCCAGCTCACCTTCCAACCCTGAACTACTCCCTATTTTAACGATCATATAACTTTTATATCTTATTTCCGTGTTTTATATTATTTTTTGTTATGTTTCCTCCCCAATGCTTGTTCTATTTCACCCCCACTTCTTGTTTTATTTCCTCCCCACTTCCTCTTCTATTTACTCCCCACTTTCTGTTTTGTTTTCTCCCCACTTTCTGTTTTGTTTTCTCCCCACTTTTTGTTGTTTCTTTCCTACTTCCTTTTCTATTTCCTCCCCACTTCCTGTTCTATATCCCCCCCAATTCATGGTCTATTTCTTCCCCACTTCCTGTTCTATATCCTCCCCACTTCCTGTTCTATATCCTCCCCAATTCATGGTCTATTTCTTCCCCACTTCCTGTTCTATATCCTCCCCAATTCATGGTCTATTTCTTCCCCACTTCCTGTTCTATATCCTCCCCAATTCATGGTCTATTTCTTCCCCACTTCCTGTTCTATATCCTCCCCACTTCCTGTTCTTTTTCTTCCCCACTTCCTGTTCTTTTTCCTCCCCACTTCCTGTTCTTTTTCCTCCCCACTTCCTGTTCTCAAGCACATCACCTGCAGGGCTTCGAGTGTCCCCTCTCCCTCTTGTATGTTTCACTCCCACACAGTATTGTTGGCTGAACCATCATCCCCTGTACATCTCTCTCTCTCTCTCTCTCTCTCTCTCTCTCTCTCTCTCTCTCTCTCTCTCTCTTATCATCTTTCCTTCAGTTTGTTTTGTCACACCCACGACACCTCATGTGTCAAGACCTTACTGAATTACTCGGAATAGGCAAACTGTACTTCAGGATTTGTCAATAAATTTGTTAAACTAAAAAAACTCTCGTTCTCCATTCTGTCTCTATACCTGTACATGCACACATTCATTTTTCCCTGTCTCCCTTTTCTACTCTCTTCTATCACTTTTTTGTTCATTATTCACTATTAACTATCTCTTCCTACACACACACACACCAAACGCATTCATTCACTAGCATTCAATACGTAACATTATCCTCTGAGCCCCCTTCCACAGCAGCTGATTTGACTCCTATAAATTTATCCCACCCGTGAAAATATTAAATAGCCATGGCCATATTACATAATCTTGGACGAAAAAAATACATACATACATACATACATACATACATACATAGTTATTGTTGTAAGTACATAATTATGAATGCCAATAAACAATTAAAGTATTTGATTAATGTTGAAACTAAACAGAAGGAAGGAGCGAGGGAAGAAAGAAACCAAAATAATATTGTTACGGTTTATAATCCGCATTAAAACACGCATCGGAAACCTCACTTCCTGATAACATCGAACTAAGACGAAACAAAACATTTACTCCACCTCATGAAAGTTAAAAAGTATATGAATGAGAAATTTTTAATGTAAGCAAGAGAGAGAGAGAGATATATATAATAATTTGTATGGTAAGTAGATTGAGGGAAAACTTTATTAACAAACGGTTCCAGTATTATGGAAAATCGCTTGAGAAACGCGCGCGAACATTTTGAGAGCATTGCATGTTGCTCAGGGTGTGTCGTAGAACTTGAAGCTGCACTGCCTCTTTGAGTGAGGAGGGGGAGATGGTGAGAGAGGAGGGTGAGGGAGGACAGAACGGATGGGGGGAAAGAGAGAAAGAGGAGGGGGTGGGTGGGAGGGAGGGCAAAATGGGAAGAGAGAGAGAGAGAGGAGGGAGAAGAAAGGAGTGCAGAATGGGGAGACAGAGAGCAGAGAGGGCAGAACAAAGAGGGAGAGGAGAAAGAGGAAAAAAGAGAGAGAGAGAGAAAGGTGAGGAGGAAGGAAACTGGCAATGCTTATTTCCTGTGTAAAGGGGATGTGCTATTGGCACCCGCCTGCCTGCCTGCCTGCCTGCCTCAACACCCAGCCACCCACCCTATAAGTACTACCGCAGGGGATAATGGCTCGAGAGACGGGAGAGGAGGAGAAAGACGGAAAAGGAAAAAGAGGAGAAAGAAAAGGAAGAGAGTGAGGAAAAGGGAGGGAGGTGAGCAACAAATTGTATTTCCTATGTAAAGGTTGTATGCAAGAAGTGATGCAAGAGAAGCAGTGAGAGAGGAGAG